TCTGCCTGTCTTGCTACTGTTGTTCCTGTCATGTCCTGACTCTGCTATCATTTCTGTTTTTTCTGTAGGATATGAACTAGTAGATTCAAGTGTGCTCTAGGGATTAGTACACGTAGTAGCATACATACGACGGATTTGGGAGTCGTCAGGTAATATTTCTTGTCGCAATATATAGCTATCGAAGTGCTGATTAGATTATAGTATTGCGCGTGCGAGAAATAATCTTTAACTATTATACTTTAGAACGTAAAGGTCAATAGATCTAAGCTTATGTTCAAAGTGTTATTTACATCATACCACATGACAATTAACAATAATATTATTTACCCCACTATATAATCCACTTTACTACGTATATATACTAACGACTACTGTATAAATACATTTTATAACATACTATAATTATATATACCGATAATTTAATGAACCGTATATAGATATCATAGTCAGATTTATAACATATTACATTATATTGAATACTTTATAACGTTTAATAACCCTATCATCAACATTATGAAGATGTATGGACGTTAATATGATATACCCCACTGATTTATTACATGATATAGATAATTATACGCATGATAATCCTCACGATTATACTATCTATATTGACTGAGACGTGCTATTAGATTGTCTAGAGATAATGTCTCTAACGTATATAATATATATACGGCTGTGGGTCATGAGGCAGCGGGTCGTCCGCCAATCAGAAGCTTGTTCTGAAGACAGAAACAAGAAAAAAAATTGCTACCCGTGAATCGGCGCTGCTTCGTCTGAGTGAAGTATGATCGATATAGACTTTCTGTTCGGTGGGCCTTTGCATCGCCTGTGATGAGTTGTTGTGAAGAGTGAATGGTTCTGTAGTGTAAAAGAAGCGTTTGAGTGGTCGGAAGACTAGAACGGACCAGGTTCCTTTACCAAAATATTAACCATATAATAAATTTATTAGATTATTCACTCTGATTAGTATATGTAATATTTATAACTGATTAGTGCATAGGTTGCAAGTAATAGTGAAGGACTGTACTAAGTAGATGTGAGAATTGGACTAGGGTTTGTGTTACACGGCAGATTATAACGTATATAAATGGATATATATTACGGATGGAATTTTACTGCGAGCCGCTATTGTCGCCCGGCCGGTGATGCATGTATGACAGGTGTGCAACCCGAAACCCGAGTGCGGTTGGCAGAGGACCGGTCGCACAAGAAGGCCTGACCCCGGTTGGTCGCCGGTATGTATCTTGTTGCCGCGCAGCTAACTTAAGGTTATACGCTGTTGTTTGGTATGACTCGACGACCAGCCAGCCCGACCGCGCCCCTTCGGGTCGGCGCCCGGCGGCGTGTCGGCACAGCATAGCCTGACCTGTGGTGGTTCGCAGCCTCTCTGTGGTTTTGTTTCCATAAGCCGGTTGCTCGACTGAAAGTGCGTGTGCTTTTTTATCCATTACGGTCGGTGACACTGTAGAGGATTTATTGTCCACCAAGACCAGAGCTGTGGTTGTTGAAACACGGTAAACAGAACGGTTTCTTGAGTTTTATCTCTGCTTTTCGTGGTCCGACTTCTGAATGAAGTTAGATGAGCATAGAGTCGGATAGGTTGACATGTGCGTTCTCGACTCTGACTCCCCACTGCCCAGACCCTCCCGTCATCCACCCGTTAGAAAAATCCCTCCGCTCCCTCACCTCATCGACCACCTACGCCAAAAGGGCTTAATAAAAGATATTAGATATATCGTAGGTCCTCCTCCCTTCCTCGCTGCTGGTCCACTTTACGTAACAACCACGCCCTTTGGCCAAGTAACCGGTCTGGCCCCCCTTCAATCCACGGATATGACTAATGATCTCTTTCTGTCACTAACCAATGTGCAACCTGCTGTAGTATTTGAGAGTTCTGGGGGTGTAGTGGCGTATGTTGTGGTTTGCTTACCTCGTCTCTTTATCTCATTATTGTACAGTGTTTATAATGTCACTACTTGATCTTCTTCATACTCCTTAGTTCTTCATACTGTCTGTTATAGCTGCTATACTGTTTGTTCTCTATCCACTTTGCTGCTGTAATATTGGAATTTCCCCATTGTGGGACTATTAAAGGTATATATTATATTATCTTATCTTAAACAGAATCCTCAGGCACAAACACTCACAGATGAACTTGGATATACACACACCTCTATCTGGACACACTTTTAACACAGCAGTTTGAGGTCGTGGGATTTCCCAGCAGGAGTCATTTGGAGATGCAATTCAATTTAATATTCTGGGAAAATATTATATTCAACAGTCTGCGGGGTTTGAGAATCAACCCTCTGAAACTTCACCTGGGTGCAATTTCGACCCACTGAGTCCCCAAACAGGCAGGAATTTAAAAACCCCTGCAAACACTAATCTCTCTCCGTCTCCTCTCACTCTGCTGTCTTTCTCATTCTGCAGGGTTGTTTCTTCTTCTCCTCCTCTCCTCTTTTACTTCTCCTCCGGGTACCTTCACACCATCTCTCGCTCTCCTCCCTGACGTCACTAAATGGCTCGTGTGTTCTAACCACTGATGTGTTCTTTCATTACTTTCAATCAAAGTGCTCACGCCCATGGATGCATTAAGAAGAGGGGGATGCAGCGTTGGGGCCGGGCTCCGTTCATTCAGTCAGAGGCAGGTTAGAAGATCTGAAGTGGAGAAAAACACAGATTTATTTCTTTTTCAAGAACAAAATACACAAGTAAACAACGTATGGCTTCGCTTCTGAAACGTCTTGGTGGGATTTGAAGGTTCACTTCCTGGCTGACTTGTGCCTTGCCTTCTTCAACGAGCTTAGGCTGGGATCCATTGTACCTGGATCTTGGACAAAAAGAACTCTGACACGGAAAATTGCAACTGGAATGTCATTCAAGTCAGAATTTGAAGTCAGAAAGAACTGAAGCACTGAAGAATGAAACTCTCATTAATCAACGTGTTGTAGTGACTCCATTCAGTTCATTTGTCCTCAATATTAATCAGTCCCTCTAGGATTGTTTTTATATCACAGTCCGTCAGTCACGTTAAGCCTGTTTCTTCTTTATTCATCATTTCATGTGGTTACTTCCTGTTTTATTTTGTACTTACCGCTCCCTCTCGTTTCAGATCCATTCATTTCCTGCCTTTGTGTGTTATATATTCCCTGTGTTACTTCCCTTCAATACCAAAGTGTTCCAGCTGCTACCTGGTGTCGTCTGTGTGCCCATTAGGACCTGTTTGATTGTATTTATTGGAGTACTTGTGTGTCGGGTTGTGCATTTGACTTCTGTTTCCTGGTCCAGTCATGAAACATTTTTTGTTGTGGGAGAAAGTGAAAATTGTAAAAGTTGTTGGTTTTGTATAATTCACTAAAAATTGAAGGCGGTTTGTTCTGGTGAGAATAAAATCTCTAGGAGTTTGTTGATGTGGCTCACCGTTTGTAGGACTCTTGTGTAGGGTTGGGTTGTGTAGAAGTGGTCAAGTGGTGGTGACTGGACAAAACTGTAAGAATGTTTGGGGATTGGTTGAATTTGTGAAATTAAACAATTTCCTGGAGGGACTGATCAGGAGATTTTAACTGGTAAACCAGTGCCTTCAAACTTCCCTGTTTTTGCTGAAACATGTATCACTGACAGAAACAGTCTGCAGTCAGCAGAAAATGAAGCACTGTATTTGGATTAAAGAGCAGCGAACGTTCAGGACGATCCAGATCAAACCACAGTGAGTGCTGTTGCCCCAAGAGGAGAGGAAGAGATCTGGGATAACTCGGATGCGAGGCTGCTCCTGGCTAATGTCCAAAAAATCAGACTGCAGAATTATTTCCTGTTTATATTTATATAAATAACTATATATATTGCTTTATTTCATATCATATGCTATTCTAAAGTAAATGAAATGTTCTTTTTTCTGTGTGTGTAGCATGAAGAGACTTTAACTGTGTGTTGTATAATAAATATATTTCCTTGGTCCTTTGAAGAGAGCCGAGGTGAAGTGAGGAGTAATTCTCTGTGGGTTTATTTCACATTACACATTTTATCCAGCGGCAGATTAACGCTGCTTTAACGGTTAGACAGATAGATCGGCAGTGATAATCATGTGCACTTTCAACCATCTGATAGACATCTCTGTGGGGAAAACGCTGTCTCAGACGCAGGGGATTCTTCTTCTGCGTTCGCCCACTAAAGCTCCTCCCTAGATCTTTGTTGTTTGTCTTTAAATCTCTTTCTACCTGTTTCTCCTTTTCTATCCCTTCATTTGTAGGAAAGGAAATACGAAATGAGGCTTCTCAGTCAGGGTCTTGCTTATAAAATGAATAGCTGTGTCCTCCTCATGCATGTTTATTATGTTTATCTCCAGCACAGATCATATTTTCACACACAGATGACGTGCTGAGAGAGGAGGTGCACAGAGGCAGGTGTGTAAATAATTTCCGTGCAGTGTGGTGGTACGTGGGAACATAAAGGCACAAACAGACATTTACAATGAAGAGACAGACGCATGCAAACACCCCCGACATCCCCCCTGCAGCGCACTCTGAAAGCAAATGTGAAAAACAACTCCTCCAGATCTGAAGACACATAAACACAGAAAATGAAAGGAGGGATTTATTGCTGGTCCGAGCTCAATCAGCTGTTCTTTTTCTGCTTTATTCACACTTATGTGATTCATAAAAGTGCTCTAGGCTTCTAAATATGACGCTGTAGGTGTCCCTGTAGCTCTGGGCTCCACAGTAAACTTTCAAAATAAAGCTTTGGGTTGTTAACGTGAAACTAGGGAATCACATTTATCATTCAGAGTTCATCCTACAAACACAGAGAAAGAATAAAACAACATACAGAGTTATTTACATTCACATATAGAGGAAATAAGTGAACAGTCATCTTCTGAATCTGTGTCTGGTTGAATGTAAACGGCAGCAACGAGACAGAGCTGATAATCTGGTTTCATCTTTACCTAAAAACAAACAGCGTCCATACAGTCGGACTGTTTGTGCACCAAACATCATCACTGTAAACACAGTCGCCTCCTCGTCCTGCACTCTGTCGGAGAGGAACACGGTCTGCCTGGCGAGGATCCAGGACGCTGATGAAGCCGGTTTCAGTAAAGATGTGGACACAACAGTCTCTGATTTTGTCCTCATATATCTGCCGTCTGTCCAATGTTACTGTAAACTAATTCCATGGTTTGTGTTTATTAATCCACCTTTTACTACGAGACCCACGAGAAGACAGCAAAACCGCAGGGTTTGATTCTGCCTTCCTGTTTACAGTCTGGCTGTAAACTAATTGTTCATTATTAAGAAGGTTCGGTCAGAACTCAGTGTGTATGAATTATTAAAGGATTTCGCAATTATTACCGTGTTCCACAAAGTGTCACAAGTAATATTCTAACTACATTTTTGAAAAAATGAGCTGTTTTAAGAAGCGTAATGGCAAAGGATTCATTTCCACCCATTCAGTTGGAGAACTCTGATTCCTCTATATCACATATCATCAATCCCTGGCTCACACTTGGGACTATTAATATCATTCCTAGACACCATTGTGAGGGGGAAGACAGCCCTCACAGACCTGTCTTGTTCATTAACTAACCTGGTAGGAAGTTGGCAGCACTCACTGAACTGTCATTCCTCGTCTTGTGGATTATTAAAGCCACAGATCTTTTCTTTTACTGTCCGTCATTGATCAGGAAAGTAAAGACAATCAGAAACTTGCTTTTTTAAAATTGTTTGATGTTCAGTGCTGCAGACTGGTTGGTCAAAGCTCAGCGGAGGGGAGTCGTGTACAAACACCCACTGACTCATCCGTCACTCCTTTTCCACAAACTAAAGACAGAAGCAGACACACACCTGCTCACACACACACAAACACACACCTGACTCATCCTTTTGCCTTGCAGCCCTCCTCAAGTACAGAAATAAAAATTCAATTAAAATGCCAGGAGTGCCGCGTGCCGTGGAATCACACACATTCATTACTGCCACAATCTGCCAGGCAAGGACGCGGTGGGGGAGGGGGGTGGTGGACGGGTGGGTGAGGGGGTCTGTGTTCGTCTTTCCCACCACCGAGAATCACTCTGAGCTGATAATAGCTGAAAGAAAGAGAGAAGGCGACGGGGAGAGGAAACAGAGAAAGAGAAATTAAGAGGCCAAAGTCATAACAGTGATAATGGAGCCTTTGATTGTGACGATAATTCGGTTATAATTACAGGAGACAATATGCTGTGTGTGTGTGTGTGTGTGTGTGTGTGTGTGAGGGAGACAGACGGGAATATATAAGGAGTGAAAACTAAAACAAGTGACAGCAAGAGGAAGCAAAAGAGTCGAGGTTACAGAGAGCGCAGAGGTAGACTAACAGTTCTACGTGTACAGGAGACATTGTGTGCAAAAGCATTCATCAAACAACTAAAGATAACAAGAGACTTTTCTCAGTATGGACATCAACATACTTATATACAGTCCTTATTCGCTCGCTTCACAGGCAATGAGTTTTTTGTTAAATTCCTAAAATAAGGTCTGTTTAATAAAGTCCAGGTGAACTTTAACTTTATTACCACTGGAGGCCTACAGCGTCATATTGTGAAGTTACTGACTGTATTTGACCAGTTGGGAGTGAGAAATGAGTGGATTTAGATACATCATGAGTCTGAAAGTGTTATAGCAGTTCTTGTTCTTTTAATCAGGAATTAACAGATTTACACTGATGGAGTTAGTTGTGTTGTATTATATTTGAGACTATTTTTTTATTCAGAAGTCTTCAAACTAAGTTGGACCTCAAATATTTGTCTCAGAAAGTTGTCTGGAACCACACATTTCTCCTGCCTCTGGCATCGTTATCTAACCGACAGTGACACATTGACCAGATGTGGGTTCCTTCTCCACCATTAAGTCAGCTCAGCTGGTCGTCCTGCCTCCCCCAGCTTCATGACTTTGTGACATTACCTTGGTTCAGATGTTTCTGCTGACTCACACACCTGCTCTCCCCCACATCGCCGAGCCTCGTCTCTGCTGCCAGCCTCGCCGTCCCACTCCGCAGGACGTTCACCGAGACACGAGGCCCGTCACGAACACAAATGACTCATCGTATCCATGGCTCATTGACTTCTTACTGTTTTATATTTTTTATTTTTGTGTTCAGTTCAGTGGGTTTGCTTGTTTCAGTTTTTATTGTTTAAAAATGTTTCGTTTCTATTAGTTTGAGTTTTCTTTTATTATAATACGGACAGAGTTTATCAGAATAGTTCTTATAAAACAAACATTGACTCACGCATTAAATAAACACCTACTCATGCTTGTGTTGACAAATTTAACCAAATTCACAAATACTGGAAACATTTCCTGTATATTTGTATTCATTTTAATAAATATATTTCTGAGCACACAATATTGTTTATTTTATTTCAGTTAATTAAAATGTTTCAACACATAGTTTTGGTTAAATTAGTAATAGAAATAACTTTTGTGTGGCTCTTTGAGTTCTTGTCTGCAGCACAAAAATGTCGATTTGTATTATTGTGCAGTTTTTCATTTAAAAGCTACAAAATAAAACATATGTTTTTAAACTGGCATTTCATCTAAACCTGAATATAAACCTCACTGAATTTTTAAGGCAAGGCTACTTTGGCCTTTGATAAATACACATTTATTGGGGCACCAAGGCCAAAACTACCAACAGTATACAGTATATAGTGTATAAAAAACTAACTCAACATTAATACAGCAGTAAAATACAACATTAATGCAGCATTTATTTTCTTTGGCAACAAACAGAACACAAAGTTGTCATTAACCCAGCTCCACAAATAAATAGCCTGCACCTGCACAAGTAAACAAGAGAACAGGGATCCATACCTGAGCCTGCCACGAGCGCTCCCAACTAACTTTACGCATTGTGCATAAAATTCCCACGAAGATTACAAACAATACAATTTTTTAGGATTTGTAGGAGAAATCTGGTGCTACTGTTGATGTCTGGTGTGATCACAGAAAATAGAAAACTTTTTTGCTTCGTATTTAATTCAATGAGGAAATCTTTTATTTTAAAGGCACAACAGCCAGTTCAGAACAGGGTAACTGGCTGTGTGGGTAGTTAAAGTCTCTCTCTTTGAATCTCTGCCTGAACTCGATTTGGGTCCAAATGTGCCGCTAGGTCAGGCTTACTCGGACAGAAGGAGATTTATTTGTTAATATTTTATTAATAATGCATGTGGCTGTGTTTTGATAATAATTTGTATGATATTTTATGTGTACAATGTAGTTTACTTTTATTTGTAATAAACAAACAATAAACAAATACAAATTTAAACAGGAATTTAGCTTCAAGCCGCCCAAAACTGATTCGCACAGAATTGCTCTATTTCACGGCACTGGCCTTGTATATCACAGTGTCAATAAACTAAAACGTAACGATCATCATAGCCCTTCCTCATTCTGAAACCTCTGGAAAATCACTTTTTTCCAACTCACCCAGCTAGTTTCAACCCACACAAACCACACGTTTTTTTGTGTCTTTCGGGTGAATTTACTGCTTTAGTTCAGTGTCAGTCCTCTACCAGCAAGAGAAGCTATTTCAGACATAAAATACGTCCTGAAACCTTCTGGGATGCGACAGTATTCCTCCATTAAACATCCTATCATTGGATGTTCTCCTGAACCTCCCCCGAGTGTTAACTGACATTGATTCTGCTGCTTCAGAAAAAGATTGCGGGGACGGTTTGTTTCCACTGTTTTGATGCTCATCAGAGGAGCAGGTGATGTTACATTTGTCGGGGCTGTTACAGACCACTTCCTCCCAGATAGAAACATTCACTTCAGGTTGAATTTGATGCCGAATGATTCATCATATCACCTCGCCCTTTAACAGCAATAAACCGCTGATAAAAGCCTCAGAGATCACGACGAAGACTTCCATTGAACTTTACAAACTCTGTCTTCTCCCTCCATCAGCCGTCAGAAATTCACTTCATTAATTTGTCAGAGGTGAAGAAAGGAGCTGATTTGCACACATCTGCACTTCTATCAAGGCTGCATCTGTGTGGAGTTGGACGCAGCACTGTGGGATCTGGTGACAAGCTTTTAGAAGAACGGTGACACGTCCAGGCCTCGTAAGCTCAAAGCCCGGTCCGACCTCCGCATCAGTCGACTCACCATGATCATCAGCAGCAGCCAGCCGCCAGATGGAAGCAGCATTTGAAATTCAAACAACCGTCTAAAAATACGTCCTCTTTGCTTCGCTCCGGTGGATCTCTGGGGCCTTCGCAGTATCACACAACGTCTGTGTACAGACGCGGAGAAAGACGGGAGGGGTGAGGTTTGTATTTCCTGTTTGCCACTAACTTTGAATCATGGGATGTAAAGAGGATCAGTTAACAGATCGCTTTGATGGTTTGACAACCAAAGAAGAAAAGCAGAGGGAGAAGCTGCAGCTCTGACAGATGTGTTCCTGCAGTCTCCTGGCAACTAAACAAAACTACAACAGGAAGAAAAACATTAAAATGATCTAATATGGTAATTGTAGGTACTTCCTGTCTACATTTAAAAAATTAAATAAAAATGTCTTTCACAAACTGGACCGATTTGGTACTACAACATACTATAACATGGTGCTTCAATATAACAGACTCCGCCAGAAGAGGAGCTGCTCCCTCTGTAGATAAAAACATCTCATTCTAAGGTAACGAATACACACTCAGTCATATTTTCAGGTGAATATTATGTTCCCTTTCTGACCACTGGACCTTTAACTGCATCTCCCGATCATGTCATTAAGTTCTTGTTGTTGCCTGCATGCACCTGTCACCTCCATCCCGTCCAGCTCACGACATAATGTTAGTAATATAATAATGTTTTTTCCTGCTAATATGTTCTGTGATATTTTGTCTTTGTTTTAATGTAGAATATGTATTTCGGCTCTAAGTTTGACATTTAATTTACATCAGATTCCTCAATTAATGTGTTGCCCCTAATAAACACGCAAATAAAGCAACAAGAATTTCATTAAATTATATTTTACACTCTGTCTGTTATTTGTTCATTTATATTCCAAATATGTTCTTCCTGAGCTCGACACTATTTCATTTGTCATTGTCATTTCTGTCCCTCTTTGTTGCCGTCTCACCTCCCTCCCTTCACGCTGTCTGTCCTGCAGTCTGTTTATGCTGTTGCACACAGAGGTTGATGTAGGTATGCATCATCTCGGCCACCTGTCACTTCTCTGTTTGTCCGTTTGGTGCCGGTTTGCATCAGACTTGTCACCAATCAATGGGCCAATTACGGCGGCCTGACCTGAAGGACCGTCTGATGATTGAGGAGAGGGAGGTGAGTTGACTCATGGCTGATGGGGCTCATCCTACACTGTGGGGTTAACAAGGTCACTCTGAAAATGTCATTGAGAAACACTGAATGTGACAATAAACAGATGCATCCACAAAACAAATGAATGTTTAACATGCAGAGTAAAGAAAGGGTATTCATGACAAAAGACACACATTTACAAAATAAAATGCAATGTCCTTTTATTTGAAAATGATTAACTGAAATATTAAAAATATCCTTTACAGCACTTCAGTGTACAATATAATAGTTTCTAACACTAGGGGGTCTCTCACATATGTATCATCATCCACACATATCATGTGTCTCACAATAAGAAAAGAGGAAGTCAGCTTCTCCCGGTTAGGATTCCTTCAGTGTTCATGGTTCAGGAGGTTTCTACCGGGAGCCGAATTATCCACAGAGGTCTCCTCCTCTCCAAA